AGGGCCGTTGGATGTGTTTGGATCAGATACGGCCGGTGGCAAACTACTTTATACCCCTGAGAAGGTGTGCAAGATCATCCTGGCATGCTGTGTCCTCCACAATCTTACAATGACCCATGGCATTCCTGTAAGACCCGGCGCCATCACTTCTAACAAACTGTGAAATTTACTACTTCTCTCATCGCGTAACCGCTTCCTTCATTCATGAATCAACTCTAGGCAAGCGGTTTCCTTATATGGAGAAATGGGGGCGTGGTAGTATGCTGATTGCAGATCGCGGACACGCGCCTGTCAATTTAGAATGGTTCTGATTTACTAACATACGCACGGTGGTGAGAACAAAATTGGCCGGTACGCACGTGTCATGAATTGAATCGGTGATTTTGCACAAGTACTTATTTTTTGCGGAGTGTAAGAACATTTCTGCGCAGATATTAGTGAATGAGGCCCAATGACATGTTTCAACTGAGCAGTTTTAGAGCAGTACAGTACTCTGATGTTTAAAAACCTCAACACCACCATGTTCTTTAGTAATAATTTGGTGTGACATACTCAACTCTCCAACATCATGCTCTTCTTTCAAGCGAACATGTAAAGTGTGTTTCTGCCATGGCTCCAGCTCCTCTTCTTCACACTCCAGTTTAAGTTCAGATGTTTTGTAACTGTAACAGAAGACAACAGACTGACATATCTGGTTTATGTAATATACAAAGTCTTTCAGCATTTTAACATTGTAGTTCTTCCAAACAATGTAAGTGTGTGTGTATGTGTGAGTGAGCAGTGCTCCTGTCTGCTTCTCCAAACTGGGGGCATGCCAACCAGCACCTACTGCAGGTGACACACTGGCTATCAGTACCTTATTCAACACACTTCAAACAGCACAAACTATCCCTTTACATGGGCTATTTATGATTCATCTTATTTCAATAACTCTAATATCACTGCATCTTTTCAGGTTACCTTTAGCACAGTGTTTAGCACAGTGTTGCATTTCAAGAGGGCTCAATTGCCATTACCCCTGCCTAAGGATGGGTACCGAACTCCGTTACTGAACGAGCCCTGGGGCTACATTCTTCAAGACCGCAGTATTGATAAGCTCTGACCTTAACGGTTCTGCTATCGGTACTGGAGCTGTCGCGTTTTTTTTTTTTTTTTTTTTTTTGTTACAAGATAAACCTTATCTTGCACATTTATCTCACCAACTCCGTCAATTATCCGTCATTGTATCATAATTTTCGCTATTCTCCCTGAAGACAGAGATCTGTGTCGCTCACCCTTGCTGCCTGCTGTGTGTGAGAGGAGAGCAGGGGGGCGGGGCTTTTGTTCCAGTGACACGCACACGCACACGCACACACACACAAGACAGTGCATACACCAACTCAAGCTTGTAGCCTACCTTTAGATAGATAACGATGGCGGAGAGAGCCAAACGGTCAAAAGTGTGGCTTTACATTACAAGAGTTGATGCAGACACAGCGCGTTGTCACAACTGTGACAAATGTTTTGCGTGTAAGAGCAGCAACACTAGTAATTTGTCAAAACACCGTGCGAAAGTGCATCATATTCAGACAGAAAGATGTACAGTGTTTGAGTGCCCTAGCACAGCTAGTTCATTTACGTCCAGTCCAGGTTTGTAACATTATGCTAGCAGCCAACACATGGCGTTAATAACCATTAGCTATTTTGCGACCCTATTTACTAAATAGGGTCTCCGGCGCAAGATAACGGCTTACCGGCGACGGAGAAGCCTGGCTCCAGATCCAATATTTTCCTCTTTGTTGGTGTCATGACTGTCCAGAAGTACCTGAACAGCCAAGCCGTGGCGGCACACAGGTATGTGACGTGTTAAGAGTGGAAACGAGCTGTTCACGTTACTCTTTGTGGCAGGTAACGGTCCACAAACCTCAGCGCACTTTAGGGACTGTTCTTTACTTGTCAGGGGAGGAGGGTGGCTGGTTGATATTTATTTTATTTATTTATTTTATTTTGACACCCCCCCCATGTTAATCACTTATTGATGCTGTTTTTGAAGTATGAATAAGTCAGTCAGTAATTTATTCCATTGAAATATCATTGATGTATTATAGAAAAGTGATTTATCTTTTTATAAATGACAAAAGGCACATATGCCTAATTTTTGATGTGGTATAATAATACTACTCAGAAACATGATAATTTCACTGGTATCGTACCGTGGGTCCCAATTTTGGTACCGTGACAACACTATTATTTTATGTATTTTACATTTCAAGTTGTAAAAAGTAAAATGTTTTGTTCAAAAACTATTTTGTAGCATAATGAGAATTGAGAAAATAAAGCAATTTATGATCTTAATTTGTTTTTTTTCCTTTCTCAAAAAGTATCGATAAGAGTACCTTTAAAATACCGGATCGATAAGAGGAGTAGTACCGTTAAAATCTTAACAATACCCATCCCTACCCCTGCCTCAACTTGTCAAAGGCGTGGTCTTACTGGACAGGCTGCTTTGGAAAGTAACCCTAAAATTAATCTGTCTCTGTGTTGAGTGTATTGCTGTTAATCCAGTTTTAACTTCCACAAAAAGATTTCAGAAAAATAAGTGATATACAGATGTCATCTAACAAAACAGGTACCTCTGAGGAATTATTGGTACGTAGATGTCTTCATCACAGCTGTTGTCAGCTCCTGGAGCACTCAGCTCAGTTCTGTCGACAACGTTTTCCATATCACTGTCAAAGTCAGATCTGTTTGAAAAAAATTAAAATAAATACTAGAATCAAATGAGCCACAAAAGAAAAAAATTAAGATACAACATATTTCCTGTATAATAAAGAATAAAATTACAGTCTGTTCTTCACACTATTGCATTCATCGTCGTCGATGGTGACCTCCATCTCCTCAAAACTGAAAATGACAAATTACAGAGAGGACACCGAGTAAGATAAGAGGGTGAAAATGTATGTTAGGAAAGTTGATATAGGACTGACAGACATAAACCTACTGAACTGTAAATGATCAAAAAGATCAATACTAACCTGTCCTGGAGCCCGTCTACCTCTGACGCCAAATGTCTGATTTCATTCTGATGTTCAACATCCTCTTGCTGGTGCCGTTTACCTCTGCAGACACATGTTGAAAGTCATTAACAATTCAAAAGTTGTTCCAGACTGTGGACATTAGATGTCTTATACCAGGTTCACATTGGACGTGGCAACGAGCACCCAGGCTGTCTCACTGTCTGCAGCGAGAGTTTCAGCGTCCGGTCTAGGTTTTCCCGCCAGTGAAACTGGCAAGAAAACATACTTAAGGGGTGTCGGTAGTGTAGTGGATAGTGCTGGCGCCCCATGTACAGAGGCGATGCCTCGCTGCAGCGGTCGCAGGTTCGACTCCAGCTTGCAACCATTTGCGGCATATCACCCCCCCCCCGCTCTCTCCCTCACCCCATTTCACTCTGTCCTGTACATTAAAGGCAAAAGCCCAAAAAAAATCTTTAAAAAAAAAAAGAAAGAAAACATACTTAAAATGTATTGTCAACAATATAAAGTGTGTATTAAATATGACATTAATGATCTGACTATGTTACATGATCAATATACATCCCATGCTTACATGTTTGTCAGTTGTGTCTAAACAGAGAGCAAGAGAGACGAGCAGAGACAGAGCTCTACATGTGATTAGAACAAAGCAGAGAGCAGAATGGCTAGCTGACCAGTGCAGAGAAATGCGCCTCTGGTGTGAACGGCCAGGTGACTGCTGATGGGCAGCTGTGTCACAATTATATATCCAGTGTGAACCCGGTGTTATTTTTTTTTATTTATTTTTTTATATACTTTATTAATCCCCGAGGGGAACAACAAAACAGGCATATATACTTTATTAATCCCCGAGGGGAAATTCAATTTTTCACTCTGTTGTCAATTACACACAGGTCCGAACACACACATGCACAAACTGGACCTATACATGCACTAAGTGGAGAGATGTCAGAGTGGGCTGCCCATGACAGGCGCTCTGAGCAGTTGGGGGGTTCGGTGCCTTGCTCAGGGGCACCTCGGCAGTGCCCAGGAGGTGAACTGGCACCTCTCCAGCTACCAGTCCACGCTCCATATTTTTGGTCCGGACGGGGACTTGAACAGGCGACCCTCCGGTTCCCAACCCAAGTCCCTATGGACTGAGCTACTGCCGCCCCCGTTACACCCGTGAGATTAACTCAACATTAAAACCTGTAAAATATATTGTGTGATCTGATGCAGAAGCCAGAGTAAGTCAGTGCGTGCAAATCAATACCATACCATACCATACCATAGGAGGGTGTTCTGTTCCTATAAGTGATGTGTAAAAAACAAGGCAAGGTTGTGACTGCTTACCTTTCAGAGGCCGATAGATGTACAAGTCTTGACAGTGAAGTTGGCACTTGCGTTGATGTTCCGGTAGAATTCATCAGTGTCGATGATCTCATCTCATAACTGCAAAAAGAAATCTTGCCATTAGAAAAATGTCATGTAAACATGTTAAGCATGCAAATTTACCCCTGGCTTAACACCTGAGATACAGGTCATCCTCATGTTTACCTGGAAGACTTTGTCTACTAGAAGATCTTGGTTTTTTTTTGGACAGCTATCTCTATTTGATTAAATCAACCCTCAAACACCGAGCAACAAAACTAGTGTTTGTGTCTTCAAATTTAAAAATAGCAAAGATCTGTGGTTATTTGAAAATGTAGTTGTTCTTCATCTAGAGTATAAAGCTAAATTACCATACTTTAGCCAATTACAAGCTCATATACACCTCATGACCACACAATGGGGAAAGGTGGCTCTCAATTAACATTGAGTCTCTAAAAATTATATATGCCACATATTCATTGCATGGTATGGCTTGATTCACCTTGACAAGAAGGATCTTTTTCTGGTTTTCTATTTGCAAAAGTTGCAGACAGGATCTGCTACTTTTTTGGTACTACCTTGGTTTGCTTTTAAGCGAGCTGAGCCAATAAAAGAGGGTGGAGTTAAAACACTGCAGGCTACTGATTGGTCTGAGAGAGTCGTTACTGGAACAACACAGGACATCCTGCACAAACCTGCTATTTTTAAATAACCAAGCTTTCATCAATAACAACCAAATTTTTTCATCACCCAACCAAGATTTTTTTTTCAAAATGGCCGCCCGCAAAAACATGCAGGTTTCCCTTGTTTGGTTGCTGACGAGAGGATCCAGTGGCATAACATGCTTTGTTACGGTCATGTTGAAAATGATGTCATGGCTATCCGCAGTGGAAAACATAATTGAGGAAAGAACCTGGTGCCAAAATCAAACCGAGTTAAGCAGTACCATGCAGTGGAAATTCTTCAGAGTTCTGGTCAGAATTCAATTTAAAAAAAAAGCTTTGGACTTTTTAAATATCTTAAATTTCCTGATGTACCCTGAAGTGTGCTGCTCATATTCAATCAATCGACTAATCAATTGGTAAGGTTTTCTTAGATAAAACCTTACCAATTTAAATAAGTTTAAACAATTTAAATAAGTTTGTGAATAAGTTGTCTACCATAAGTCTTTCTTACGGTAAATGAGTTATTTGTGGTCAATAGTTGTAAAAAATATTCACATCCCAGTATCACAATATTATTCAATGATACAACAACAAATAAGAGTCATGGAGTTTCCAGAAAATCATGGCACACTGTTTTGTTGTGTAGATAAGAAACTTAATATGCCTTTATTGATATTTTTTCCACTTTATTTTGTGCTAACAGATGAGAATACATGATTGGGCATTTGAAAAAAACAAAACAAGACACAGCCATGCAATAACAAGCATTACAGATATTAACTTAACAATGTCTGCATTTAATATTTCTAACAAACACAAAGATGTAGAAGATCAATTTTATCATGGGGGGAAGTACAATAAAGTTACTCTCTGAGTGACTTGGACCTGCACATAAAGCACTCAAGTCATCAGCAGACAATCCATGCAGGGTGGGGATGGCAGACTTTTTCAAACTGAGTCATGTCATTATTCATTTTTTGTAGTCTGTCTCTCTATAACTGATATCCCACTGGTTTACATTTCAAGCTTAGCTAATCTATATTTTTCTTTACAAATGAATTGCTAGTTATTAGTGCTGCACTGCCCACTTTCTTGAAGATCCACACAGCCAATTTAAGGTGCACTTTCCCTTTCAAAATTCTAGTCCCCCAACCAACATCAGATTACCTGCTGGATGTCACTCGAGTCATATTTTTATTGGTTTTCCATAGTTTCCCTCTGATCCACAGACTTTATACAACAGTTTGACATGCTGATAAGAACTTTCCATTAGAGGTTAATCGATTTCATTGAGTATATTTAGTTCCTCTTTGTAATATAACCTGTACATGCTGCCTCACCTTGACCTTGATGACAGAGCTCCCTTCTCTCTTCTCCTCGACTTGGCCTTTATTTTCTTCAGAGGATCTTCAAAGTAAAAACAAGAAAACATTCAGTGACAAGTACTGAGATTTTTGGCTCATTAATGTCATGGTCTTTTTCATACTGTTACTAACCAAATTACTCAATAATTTTAGGTAATAACTAGAGTGAAAGAATAAATATGTGCAACTATACAGTAATCTAAAGGGCCACACATCACACAGCAAAGATATCAGCTAACCATCAGTATGCATACACGCTGAGGGGAGGTAACCACTCTGTATGCTACTCCATGGGAAAACAAAACTCAACAGGCCTCCCATCAAATAGCCATTAGGAAAAAAAATTAAAAATTGCAAAGGGGACCATAAGGTATTGTGTTCTGTGGTCATTTGCTTGTGGAGGAAAAGAAGAAAAGGGTGACATGAAAAATGAGGAGAAACCACACAGGAATGGCAAAATCACAGATTCACTAAGTTTAACAGTATATGCATATTTCTGTCTTTGTGCTTACACAAACTTTTAGTCGTGAATCTGCAGAGTTTTATGTATCTATCTCCTAAAACAAGAATCAGACAGAGTTGAAGTCTGACACTTTTTAGTTCTTGATACTGAAACCAAGACAATCACAGCGATTATCACCTGAGATGTGAGGAAGAGTGCCTTCAGGCTGTTGGTGTATGTCCTTCACAAAGATCCCTTCCTGCTCAGTCCTGTTCATCTCCTTCATTTCTGGGTTGAGGTATGCCTTTTGGATTTCAAAAAAGGTTTTATGTCCCATAAAATTCAGGTGTAGGTGTTTGGCCCATTTTTTAAAGTGTGTAAAAGTGGCTCCAGAAAAAAGAACAGAAAGAGTTGTTAGGAGATGGATTTCGGGAAATGCCTCCCTAAGGTGAGGTGATGACATCCATATGCCCCTGTGTCCGCCGAGGCAGCTCCACTTCACCTTCTTCTGTGCCCCGCAGTGAGACACCTTCTTTTTGGTTATGGGCTGTCCACACATCTGACATTTCTTAAACAGCTCCATCAAACAGCAGTCGTTTACAATAGTCTTTGATTGACTCAAGTCTTTTTCTGTGCTTCTGCCTGATTGTGATGGCGCTGTCGAGCTTAACTCGGCCTCTTTGTGGAAGCTCTCATTCAGACGACCTGCAGATGCCACACTGCACGAGCTTTCACTGAGTTCAGCTGGGGAAGGGGGCTGGGATGAGGTGCTTGGTGCTCCTGAGGCAATCTGGGATAAAAGACAGATTCAAATTCAAAATTAGTTACAAGTAACTGTGTGTGCAACATTTCTAAAGAGGGTTAACAATATGTGCATACATTACTTTTGATAAGATGTAATACCCATCTACATATATACTACGCAGGGTTTTCCTAAAATACAATGTAAGCCACTAGAAGTGTGTGGTGGTGTATTTTTCTGGATGGCTTTGCCCTCTTCATGCATTTTCATATTGTCTGTGCTCAGGACATTTATGGGTGTGTACCTCCACAGCACTCATGTGAGGTTGGGGCTTTGTAAAGAGGTAGCAACCAGCTGCCAGACTGTAAACAGTGGGCATCCAAGAGACACAGCCCCAAAAAACGCAAATATAGTGAGGGAAATACGAGAGTAAATCTGGGGTTGGCTTTTACTTTTACTTCTGCTTTTGCTTTTACAATCAGTAACTAATAATCTTGCATAGGGCTACCAATGTCATATGTTATACTTACAAGAATTGGCAGGGAGGGAGAAGGTGATGCAGTATCCACAACAGTACTTTGAACACCCAAGGAAGAAGTTTGTGAAGATGTTATTGGACCCTTGAATAAATACCAAAAAAATCAAACATGTGCGTCATTCAGAAAAAAGGGTAGCTGTGTAATACACACACCTCTCCTAACATAAGTTAACCACACGCTAACACATGAGAACAAAATGCTGAATGCTAGAAGCGTACCTTTCCTACATCATACTTACTGAAGCTGACACAGAGGCCCATCGCAACATACTGTTCACACTGCAACCTGAAACCACTGATGTAGAGTCTTGAGCAGCTGTACTGGGAACCTTAACCTTATTTCAGAAAAAAAAGAAAAGTTTTGACATGAGCACACTGGTTATTCAGTCATTTTCCACCTGACAGCTTTCACCCAATTTCAAGTTTGTTCTTCTCATGTATTTCCACAAAAATTAATCCCTGGTCAAAGTGAAAAAACCCAGAAGATCATTTAACTATCCTAGTTAGTCTAAAGATATTGAAGAATCGTGTAAAGGCTGTAAAAATCATCAAGGCCCCAGTGCGCGCTATTACGATGGGCCCTAGTGCACGCTAGTGATGGGCTCTAGTGCACTCTGTATGACACAAAAATACCAAAGAGGATAAGAAAATATTAATTTAGTTTAATCCTCTTATAGTTTATTTACACTTTATGTAGAATAAGCATATCATTTTGTTAATGGGTTTGCCTTTTTCAAAAGGCATATACAGCAACTGGAACGTTTTTGAATTTAATGAGAGTTCCTCTTTGAACATAGGCATATTTTTAAGGTAGCAATCAGTCATAAGGGCCCATTCTCTGCCCAACACAGTGCTGGACAGCCCACTCTTCTTATGAGCCCCCCACCTTACAGACCCCAGTGCAATCGCACTGCCTGCCTCGAAGGACAGATATCCATGCTAAATTTGTGGAAACTGAAACGATATTGAAATGTTTTATCATCAGATATATTGTGAAACTGTATTGATTTTACATTCTAACAAATTCACGTTATTTTTTTCTTGTGTCATGCAAAATGAGCAAGAATTTGTTATTTTCTCATGTTAGTGATTAAGATATATTTCTTTTATCATGCAGTGGTTGGAATATATTTTCAGATGATTAAGAAAGTCTTGGAGCATTATGTTTCTAAAAACAGCAGTATGTGTTGTGAAGTGACCCTCTAAAACTGTGGTCAACTTTCTCCACACGGTTTGCATTTAGTTGTTCACTTCATCTACATCTATCAACAGCATCTCTCTGCTCTCGCCATAGTTGAACAGTTACCTACAAAACCATGTCTCTTACAGGTAAAACAAACTATTTACCTGTGTTGGGCTCCTGTCATCAGCTGGCAGGTATGTGCAGAGGTCCTCTTGCTGTCTTCCAGAGAATACAGTCGGAATGACGTTGGACCTGAGGATTTTTCGGGGCGTTGTTTTCATGAGTTCCGCCTGTATGTCCGGCTCGTAGTCTTCCGGTTTAAAATGTTGGCTGCAGACTCGTATATTGCCGTATTTACTCACTGGTGTGTTTTCGTCAAATTTGGGGCTCTGTATGGCCTTTAACCACTTTCTGCATCGCTCCGGGTCTCTGGTGGGCAGTGAGTGGAAGACGACTCCCCGGGACCTGGCCTTCTTGTAGCCCTTACAGCCCGGCACTGAGCACATCCCCGGCATCGTTACAGAAATGAAAAGTAACCACAGAGTAAAAGAAATAAGGGAATTATAGGTGAACGACTGACACCATTTCTGAGTTTGGTACAGTGACCGCTCAAGCTATTGGTGAACGTGACCGCTGGACGTAAACTGTAAAGACGTTTGCATTCTGGGATGCGTAGTACTCAAGTGTCAAAATACTGTACAGAGATACAGCAGCCTTGGCGACAGTTACAGCTAGCTAGCTCTGCTTTGTAAAATGTATTTGAAAGTGGAAACAGACAGTTTTCCAACTTTGACACCTTTCCAAAAGGTGTTTCATGTTGGCGCAGCTGTCGCAAAGACAACCGGATCATTTTCCGTTATCCACGGAGCCTAGCAACTGCCAACAACACATTACCGTTAATAAGTAGGCACGCCTGATTACTTACTGATCCAACAGGAAGAAAGCCAGATGAATATCGCTTTTGAATCCTCTCAAGTTGCGGAGCTCTCTCCACCGGTTGAATGCCAGTCCGAGGTTCACTCTGGTTCTACCTCTGTTTTTATCACCCTCCCTCTTCGCCTGTTTTGCCTCCTCCGTCATCGGGGCTCTTTTTCTTCTGCGGGGTGCAGTTTTCACAGTTACTTCGGTCGTTCCATCGTCCGCCATTTTTGTATGTCTATAACAGTAACTGCTAAGAACTTTGGGGGAAGCTAATGATAGCTAGCTGGGAGCATGTTATTTTCCTGGGATGGTAGAAACACGACCCGCCCTACTCTGCCTTTCTCCCTCTGAATGGTCTATCTTGATGTTCTCAACCTAAAACCCACAACCAATCTCACTCCTCTTGCCCAAACCGAACCAATCAAACCAACGAAGGCAACGACAACCAGCCAATCGGAGGCAGAATGGGGCGGGTCAGAAGTTGGCTCGCGGGAAAACAAAAGCCTCTTCCTGCTTTGGGTTGTGCAATGGTTGAAGCACTTGTGCGAGCTTTTATTTTCCCAGGAGATCAGTTCGTATCCGGTGACAGACAGACTTGCGTTCTGTAGCCAATATTTACAACATTTACTTCATAGTGATAAGTTAAAGTAAATAAATAAATGAATAAATAAAAATAAAAACTCGTCTATTTCCACTACTGGAGAATACAAAATAACAGGCTTTCCCATTTTCCTAACACACATTCGCACAAACTTTGGTCACGTGATGACAACACAATGTTAAATGTATGTTAAAGGGTCAGTGTGTAAAATGGGTTGAAAACAGTGACATGTAGCGTTTAGATTCTAGATTGCAGCGCTCACTCGCTCGCCTGTGCTCACCCCTCCCGTCGGCGAAGTTACGGTGGCGTCCGAGGACCAAAACACTTTGTAAAAATGGCGTCGTCCACGACAGACAGCAGCGTCTCTGCCGGTAACATATCCGAAGCAACGTGCAATGAGGTGAAGATCTAAACCATATTACAATATGTTATAGGTTAACAGTGAGAGGTTAGGAGTATTTTATTCCTACTTATTTTGGTAACACGAGCAAACATTAGCGCAGTAACGTGAATGCTAAATAAAGTCATGGCACAGTGCAGCAAATAATCGTTAGGTTGGTAGGATAACCCTTAACGTTACATATTATAATATGCGTTTGCAGTGATTTTCCACAGGAGACAGGGAGAGTAGGAAGAGGAGAAGAGGGAGAGGAGGAAGACGAGGGAGAGGAAGAGTTTGCAGGAAGGGCCAGGCGACGTGCCTCAGCCACGGAGAGGGAAGAGGAGGAGAGGAGGATGTTATGCCTGTTATGCCTTTGACATAAGACTAAAATTTTCGCAAGTGTTTTACAGTAATTGCTCTACCTGAAGATGATATAACGTTACGAACTCTCCTCCTCACTCCCTACTTGTCGAGTCTGACACGTAACGCTATTATACTACGTGCTGACAAATAGTAGCATTTATTTTAGTAGTTTACCTGTCCAGCAGAAAACATGCCGCTTCAGCGTCGGATTGAAGCCCTTTGTCCTTCATGAACTCCCTCCATCGCTGAAAAACATCACCGATGTTTATTCTCTGCCGCCGCTTGTCCCGTTTTCTTTGCCCCTCTTGGCGTCTTCTTTTCCTCGCAGATGACAGTTCGGGTTCATTCTCTTCTGTTACGTGGTAAATGTGATCCATTCGCAAACTTTATAACTAAAAAAAACTTTTCACTACTCTCTATCGACGAACTACTAACACTCTGTTTCCTCCCCGTCTTCCTTCCTTCCGCTGTCTTCTTCGTTGGTTTACACGCGAAACGCGTTCTCTGGCTGGCTGAATTGTCCGCTCGGGCTGCCGTACATTCACTGCGGCGCAAGATGGCGACCTCTCAAGACAATAAAAACACTTTACCCTATTTTTGGTGTAAATCCTGAAGATGACCCTCAAACTAACAGCCAGTTTAAGGTTAATATTAAATAAACAAATTACACATTTTGGAATACATAATGATTTGAATAAATATTTAAAAAAAAAAAATACAACTCATCATTATGAAATGTTATATCATCTTCCATATTTCCAAAACTATTTTATTGGAGTTAATTTATATTTCATTATAGATATTGTATTTATTTTAAAGCGTCTTTTTAATTTATTGGTATTAGCAATTTTCCCAGTGATGCTTTCATTTCATATCAGTTTTCATGACAGGGTTATCTTCCTACACACATTTTCAGCCAATCACAGTCTCCAAATCTCTCAGCAACTACCAGCAAACCAGACTGACAAGATGTCACCAGTTAGCTCACTGGAAAGTTGACATTCAGGAAAAAATACTCTATATTTAATGTTGAGTTTTGGTGCTTTACATTTATTTCTAAGTGTTGGTTAACAGTTTAATCTTCATCCATCCTGATGTTTGTTTTACATATGTTCTATAGTGAACCTATGGAGCAGATAAAGGAATTGTAAAGGGTTACACCACTCAGGCTGTGAAAACAGCTGTATAATGTCTTCTGAGGCTCCAAAGAAGCTTTATCAAATCAGAGAAAATAACTGTGATGAAGTCAAGTCATAGTGATGTCATCAGGGTTATCTCATCCTGGACTTGGAGACTACACATTTTTGTGATAAAAAGTCACTAACTGGGGCCATGGGGTTTGACAGGTGTCGGCCTTTACTGGGCGGGAAGGGTCCAACAAAAAGAGGTTATTTGTTTGGATCCTGTGATTCTGCAGCCTGAATATCAAGAGCCTGGATAACTCTGCCTCTGTTGCTTCAATTTTCATTTTCTATGCCCATGTGCACTCTGGTTTCACACCTCATGCACTAGAACAGCACCATTAGTTATAGTGTATAGTAGGACAGCACTGGCAAGCCAGAGCAGAACACATTTGCCGTGATTTTCCACCAGGGTTTGAGGAAAAATTCAAATGTATTTATTTATTCATTTTTACTCCAAATAGGCAGAAGTCCACAATACAGCCAAGATGGCAAAAATGTTCACCATTTTCACTGTAAAGTAGAAAAATAAAAGGGCACCTACATTTTCAAGAGGGTCCAAATATGCCATGGGAGCATGTTTTACTTCACATTAACTGCATGTACATTAAAAATGTCTCTAAAATTACTGCATAATTTGGAAACAACCATTTACAGTAAATTCTAAAATTGTGATTTGTCTCTTGTTTACTAATTTGTTCATTTCCAATATATGTGAGATAATTAAACATTAAACAATGTAAAAACAATTTGTTTGTCTGGATATTTTCATGAGTGAAGAACATCTGGTGACATTTGTGTGATCTGAGTTTGTCCAACAGGTGGCAGCCTGCAATTATTAATACAGGGCAGAGGTGCCTCTCATGGATCCATGTGACAGTGCATCAGAAAACTTGCTTTCTGTGGCAAATTACTTCCTCCTGCATGGTTTTTAGGTTTTGATCTAAAAGTTAAAACATTTTTGTTTTCTAAATAGGCTAGCATCAAAGTTAACTATAAACTCAATATGAGCACATCACTGTCAAGTCCTGCAGTTTCTCTTGTAGAAATTATGTGCTGTGGTGTTTTTACTTTTAATATATTTTGTATGACATTGAGTTACAGGACATGGAATCACACATTTTCATTAAACTCCATATGGTTTTAGTGAAGTGTCCACTGACTTTTCGCTTTCTTTAAGCGTGTGCAAAACTTGTCTGAAAACACTTTAACTGCTTTGTAAAAGTGAGGATACTGCACAGAAAATTATTTGTCCAGAACAGTAATGTGTGATTTATATGACATGATAGGACACAGTTTGTTATGTAACTAATAAGTAATAAGCATATATAATAAACATGAGTAGTAATGACCATATTGCCATGTTTAAAGGTCAGGTCATTTGCTATTTTAAAAAGTGTTTCCTAACAGGCTTTACTATGACATACTGTGGAGCTAAATGCATTCGAGCTGAAATCCCGCATATTGTTAACAATATGTTTTCATAATACAAAATGTGTGAAGAATGTGGAATCTTTATTTTATTCAATCAAGACACTGTACCACATACCTTACCCTTTTTTAAACTAACGTTTACTAAGCAATCTATGGCATGCTGCCAACAACTCAGAACTCCACACACTTCAATGCTTACTATAGGGTGACATAAAGCACTAAAGCCAAGGATAAAGTGTATAATCTTTACCAACTTCACTGACTGTACTGATATACTTCGGCTGCAGGCAGTAAGTCTAGCTGAATGAAGGTCTGGACAGTGCCAAAAGTGTTGGTGGTTCTGGGACTGAGTGTACTGGAGCTGTTGGAGGAGTATCAGGCTTAAATCAATAAAACATCTGCAAAATATAGGAGGGGCAACCCCTAGTGATGCACCAACAACCCACTTTTTACTCAAAGGATTCACAATTTGGTCTTTTTGCTCTGGCTTTCAGTGTTTCGGTTTATTTACATACAGAATTAGAGTCACAAAACAAGTTGAAATTATTATTATTACTATGTTAGGATTGAGGTTAATGTAAGACAATTAAAAAAATACGTTACATATATTTTTTAGTCTTAGCTGAGAAAGACAAATTCATCTCACAGCAGAGAAACTCTTTTAGGAGTAGGGGTTCACACGCTCATCCACCACCCATAGCATCTCCACACCCTTATGTTCTCTGCAGTTTCAGTTTCAAGTTCTCTTTCTTTCTCAGTCATAAAGGTTTCAGTCAAAGTTTGCCTCCTCTGCCACTGTTAAACACCCACACTTAACTTTAAGACAGCCAGGCTCAAATTCATCCTCTCACTGAGAAATAAAATGTAGGCTGAGTGTCTTCATTCAACATCTGTATCTATCTATATAACAGCAAGCATCCTTAAAATAATATTCTTTTGAAATTATCCATTGTCTGCTCTTTAAAGGTTCTCTAAGTCTTCCTAAGCTTGAAAGGTTTTTGTCACATACAGCAAACATCTCCTCACGATCCGCTAGCTACATGTCCTCTGAATATAATGTGAAAAAGTCCGGTCTCTGTAGGCAGCCCAGGCTCCGCAAATGGCAACAAAAATATTTTGGTCCAGGCTGCACCAACCAGCCAGCCCGAGACCAGCGAAAGCAAGCACACACATGAAGGCGGTGCCCATGTCTCACGGTCTCACGCAAGCGCACACATATTAACGCAGTGCACAGAGAGGCAGTTCGAGCTACAGGCTACAATGAGGCTAAAAACAGAGTTCAAATGACGTTTTTCCAAACAACTTTTTATGTTGGGGCTTCAGGACACTTGGATCACTATGGACGAGCATGGGTGGAGATATTTTGTGGTTTCAATTATGTGTTTTTGGACGTTTGAATCTGGGGCACCATAAGCCTCCATTAGGTGGAGTTTCGTTGCTACCTCCTCTCCCCTTGAAATGTTGTGAGGACTCTAAAACTTCACCTGATCCTCCATCGGCATGAGGGTGAGTAGATAATGGGTGAATTTTCATGTTGGGTGCACTGTCCCTTGAACAGGTGTGTAAATCCAGGGTAACTAGCCGCTAGCGCTCATTCATGACAGAGTCACGGAGGATGAGGGGGGGAGGGGGGAGCTAGCTCTGTTGTGTTTGATAACATTGTTGAACGTAAACAGAAGTAACGTCACCCAACGGTGATTAGCGTGCCACTTGGCTAAACAATTCTACATTGGCGTTGGGTGTCTGGGTCCAGTAATGTGAAAGCGATTGAAGAAAATAGACGTTTTCACTGAAAATCAATTAATTTTTTGGAAATTCCTATAAAATATAAAGTGTGTTTTTGTGAGTGTTGGAGCGTGTGTGGGCGGATGGGGGTATTACACCTTTCTGTGTTGCTCATTGTTTTCTGCCTATGAGAGGGAGGTGGAAATCACTGTTGAACCCAAAATGAATATATCCATCGAATATCCAACGTCAAACTAACGTCACTACGGTGTTAAACCATTTGGTATCCACCCAGGGCAACATAACTTTGATAGTTCTGGCCAATTCCAACCAAATGTTGGTAATAAGGCGAACATTAACATCCGTTTACAACAATCAAGCTGGATCTACACACCTGTTCAGCAGAAACAGAGCCACCTCAGCATCTGTTTGGAAGCCCTTCTGTTTGCGGAGATCTCGCCACCTTTCAATTGCTTCTTTACCGATATAAATACGGGACTTTGCTCGTTCCTTCTCCTGTTCCCTCTTCTTGGCCAGATGATCATCTGAACGTCTCCTTTTTGGTCGCGTGTCGGCCATATCAAATCTCAGTATATCTCAATAAAACACTAATAGATGTGACACTGTCTTTGGCTAACTTTCTTCTTCATGGTCCTCTCATCTACTAGACTCCCCACCCCCCTTCATGTGCCCTAATCCCCAAACCCCACCCCTCAATTGGTGATTGGCTGGCTGGTGCAGCCTGGACCACAATGTTAGTGTTGTTGCCATTTGCAGAGCCTGGGCAGCCTACAGAGACTTTTTCACAGCATATTCAGAG